GAGAGAGAGAGAGAGAGAGAGAGAGAGAGAGAGAGAGAGAAGAATGTCAAGCCATACGAAACACACACAGTCCGTCATTCATGGCCCTTTGTCCGGATAAGGGCTCGATTTGTTTTTGAAGGAGCCTCTGCTTTATTGCGGAACAACTCCGCATGCATCGAGGAGAAGCGGTAACGAAAGTTCTGGTAAAAAATGCGTCCTACGCCACCCACCCCCACCCGTCTACTTCAGGTTTGGCAGCACAAACGCAAAGCAAAGCACACATCCACACTTGACACCCAGACAAGGGGTCTGCAGCAGTAGATTTGCCGCCGCCCCGGCACCCTTCAGTCCCGGACCCCGAAGCACCATTGTTCGATATGAGCATCATCATCTGAATCAACGCTTTCGTGCAATTAAATTATGACTCAACAATCAGTGTCCTTTCGTCGTCCAAACAAGGTGCCGCGGCGCGCTGTGACGAGAGAGTTTTAGCCGGCCGCCTGTACGTGTCGCGGCAACGTACGAGGTTCGCGGAGGCGCGAATGGCACACATCCTGTCGAGGCTTCGATGCTCCTGCTGCGAAACTCACATCTCCCGTCTCTCCCTACCCGAAAAAAACGGAAAACGCGAGTCTGAATATGAGGGGGCGCGTGTCGTTGTATGAGCGACTCCGTCAGACTCGCAGACTGAGCTGTGGTGCACGGTGCAAGGTCTGCTGCTTCATAACCAAGAGGCTTTCCCCCGAACTTGTGCGCTTGATCGAACGTCCTACGGGGTATAGCTTCGCTCGTCTCGCCGCACTGTAAGACTTGCCGTATCCAAGGAGAACCGAGCGATCAATACAAACGGAGAGGAGGAGCGCCACGTCGTGCCCGAATCTCGGCTCTCGGCTCTATTTTGCAGCGCACCGGTGTCATCGACCCTTTCTACAATTTTTTTGTTCACCACGCAACAGGGTTGACACCTCGGATTCATGGCCGTACACTCCACACTCCTTTCCCCCTCGGCCTGCTCCCCGGCCGGGGCCGAAATCGACCTAGTGAGTCCCTCGCGGGCAAACCAGGCCACAACATATTGTAGGCGGGTGGTGTCCCAAGGTACAACTCACCGCCGCGCTGGCTCAGCGTGGCGGTGAGGATGCACAGACGGTGGTTGTGGCGAGAGGTGTGTATCGACACTGTCCCCGCGGCAGCTAAATGCAAAAGCGGCAAACTGCACCTGGCAACCACCGTGGCGGAAAGCGTGGCCCACGAAGCTGGAGGAGAAGAGAGATTCGTAAACACCACGTCAGTAAGTGCACCGCTCGCGGGAGAAGGGAGACAACCGCGGGCACCGCGGGGAGGGAGTGCTGCACCCTCCTCGTCAAAACACCACAGGCAAGAACCGAGCTCTGTAGAGATAGATTGATGCGAGGAAACTCGCCGCTCGGAAAATACGGAAGAAGCACACCCGCAACGCGAGGCAAACCGAGAGAGACACGAGACCGCAGCGGCCGTCAAGGCGGCTGCGAAGAAGAAGGCACGAGAGGGCGACCTATCGTTCGGCACGTTCAACGTACGCACGCTCGCCTACAGCGGTAGGAACCCCATCGGTCACAACGTGATGACGGTCATGCAGATTTGTTCCGCGACCGGCTGTGATGTGATAGGACTTCAGGAGACCCGACGAGAGGGGCAAGGTTCAATTGCACATGACGGGGACGTGATCATCTGGAGTGGTGCCCTTGCTGGCACCAAGGACAAGAGGGGCGTACACGGTGTGGGCATAGCGATCAAGGAGGCCATGTGGGAGAGTGTGGGCGAGGAAGGTAGGACGGTGGAGTGCATTAGCCCGAGGCTGATGAAGGTGCGCCTGCAAATTGGCCGCACCTGCGGAGTAACTTTCGTGGTGGGGTACGCCCCCACGGAAACTGCCCGCACCACCGCGGGCGGTGATGTTAACGCCAAGGACTCCTTCTGGACTGCTCTCGACGCAGCGATCCGGGAGGTTCACAGCCGTGACCATCTCGTGGTGCTAATGGACGCCAACGCATGTACTGGTAGGAGGCGAGACGGGTGCTGCGATGCCAAGATTATGGGCGCGTACGGACGCGACATTATGAACAACAACAGGGAACGACTCCTTGGACTGGCGTCAGACAACCAACTCTCCCTGACCAACACCTACTTCCGGACACCGAAAGGTGGAGTGCAGCACACATTCCAGAGCTCCAACAAGGGAAAGGAGAAGTACCGCCTCGACTTCATCCTCATGCGGCAGGCGGACCGGCGTTTCGTGCGCAATGTCTCCGTCAAACGTGTCGACCTCAAGGACTCTGACCACAACCTTGTGCTTACGACTGTCCGCCTCCCCCCCCGTGTCGCACCCAACCGACGAG